TAGTCAAAATTAAAAAAAAAAAAAAAAAAAAAAAAAAAAAAAAATTCGCGCAGAATGCTTACCAATTTAACAAAAAAAAAAAAAAAAAAAAAACAAAGGAAACAAGAAAAATACGATGGGAGCTGTGACGGTAGAAGCACCTTTGCTTGGGGGGCACAATTAAATACACACAGGTGGGTTGGTGATAAAAATTAGGCTTCACATTATTTGCAAGTGCATGTGTGTGCAGCTGGCAGTGAAGCGGCTTGATGTGCACATACGTATGGAGGAGTTGCACGGCGAATTCGCTGGCAGCCCTGCATATGTGTAGCGGAACAAATAGAGTGTGAACTACCCCCCTTCACCCCTTTTTTGGAGCAGGGAGGTATAAAAGCGGAGGGACACACTGATGAACGGCTTTACAACACAAGCTGGTGTACGGACGCTTTCAACAACTGCACATTAATGTTGTTATCGCTGGACAGAGAAACATGAATAGAATCGTTGGGTTCATAAAAATTAGAGATTAAAAAGGAAGCAATGGGATCCTCGACGTACTTATAGAGTGCCCTTCTAATAGATCTGGCACCAAAATTCATGTCATAAATATTATTTTCGTCACTACAAATATATTTAATAACATCTGGTTCGATAATTAAATTTAAGTTTTTTCTTTTTTTAATTCTTTTTTTCAAATCTTCAATCATATTTTGGAAAATATTAACAACATCTCTTTTGAGAAATTGTCGGAAAATAATTTTCTCGTCAATCCTGTTTAGGAATTCTGGAAGAAATTTTTTCTTCAGTTCTTCTTCTATTTCTGGTTGTAACTCTTCATACCATTTATTGGTTCGTAATTTTTCTTCAAATATTTCGTAGCTGTTTGGTTTATGGGTAGGGGCGTTCTCCACGTGTTGGTCATTTTTTTGGCTTATCTGCATGTCTGCCTCATTGTTTTTGCTTACTCCTGCTTCGTCCGCTACGACTGAATTATCTGCAGTGTTAACTTGTGCAGGGACTTGACTGTTGGGCAGGGAAGCTGTATCTATGTCCTCGCTATTTTTCTTCTTACCAACGTAATATCTGAAGCCTAGATTTGAGTAATTTTTATTATAGAGTTTGAAATAATCTGTGATAATGTCTGACCCTACATTGGTTGTCATGAAGATAAAGGTATTTTTGAAAGACACTTTATTTCCCTTCGAATCTGTTAGAACTCCATTGTCCAATATTTGCAACAGAACATGTAACACTTCACTATGTGCCTTTTCAATTTCATCAAAGAGTATAATTGAGAATGGTTTTTTCTTTACACTTTCGGTTAGTTCTCCTCCTTCTTTATAACCTACATACCCTGGGTAGCTTCCGAACAGTTTGCTCACTGAATGTTTGTCTATGTATTCACTCATGTTTATTACGATTAGGTTGTCTTCATTGAATAAATATTTGGATATGACTTGGGCGCAGAGCGTCTTTCCAACCCCAGATGACCCACAGAGTAGCAAGGTGCCAATAGGTTTATTAGGATCCTTAATATTTGTTATAGCTTTGAAGAGATACCTGGATAATATATCGATTACTTTTTCTTGTCCGATTATAATTTTGTTTAATTTTTCTTTGAGTTTTATAATTTTTTCTTCCTCCTTTTTATTTTTTTTTATGTATGATATGGAAGCTTTTTTGCTGACAATATTTTCTATAACGTCTGAAGTGACGTACTTCATGTGCATGTTGTGGAGGTAATTTTGTGCTTCGACATTTCTGTTTTGGTCGGTGACTGTGGGTTGGGCGTCAGGAGTGGGTACCGTCTCGGGTGGAAGCTCGTCGCTACTCAGTTGCGTGTCGTTCACCTGTTGCTCGTTTATCTGCTGCTCGGTATTCACCTGCGTGCCGTTCACCTCCTGGGTAATGGCCTGCTCTGCATTCGCCTTGGCGGCACGTTCATCGCGCAGCCTCTGGCGCATGAACATTTCGTACCTGATCTTCTGGTACGCGCCAGCCTCGTCCAAGATGTCTATGGCCTTGTCTGGGAAATTTGCAGTGGGCAGATAATCCTCCGTGAGCGTAACGATCGATTTGAGGGCATCATTTGTGTAATAAATATTGTGATACTTTTCATAATTGTATTTAATTTTCTTCAGTAGGAGGAGAGTTTCCTTTGAGGTGAATGACTTGACAGGGACGCAGTTAAATCGTCTCCTCAAAGCTTTATCCGATTCGATATATTTCGTATACTCTTGAAATGTCGTGGTGCCAATGCATTGTAAATTGTCTGAGGAAAGGAATGGCTTCAACAAATTGGAAGCGTCTAACGATCCCTCCCCACTACCTGCACCCACAATAACATGAATTTCGTCAATAAAAAGAATATTTTTTTTTTTCTTGTTCATATTATTTAAGAGGTGTTTCATTTTTTCTTCAAACTCCCCTCTGTACTTTGTCCCAGCAACAATATTCCCTACATTGAGTTGGTAAATTCGACAATTGCGCAAATGATATGGTACTTTATCTTTTAATATTAAATAAGACAAATGTTCTACGATAGCTGTTTTTCCGACTCCACTTTCTCCAATCAGTAATGGGTTTGATTTTTTTCTTCTTCCTAATATTTCTATTATTCTTTTTATTTCTTTTTTTCTTCCAAAGAAATGTTCATGTCCTTTTTCATACGCTGCTTGAACCATATCGGTTAGACAATCTTTCACATATGAGGAGTTAAAAATTTTGCTATTGGATGGGAAATTATTTTCTTCATAGTTTTTGAATTCCCTCGTTTGGTGTAGGTAATCATTGTTTAGGTTGTTCATAAAGTGGTGATTGGTGTTTTCATTGTTTACATTCCGCATTCGCTGATCGTCATCCCTATTATCTATCGTTTCAATGGGAGATCCATTTCCTTCACGTTTATCTGCATGGTTAGCATTTTGATCATCATCTCGCTGGAAGTTACGGCCTGGCTTTCCCGTAGGGGGTGCTAAGGAATTTTGCTCGTCGTATCTAGTTAGTTCCTTGTTCAAATCGTTAACGCTTATGTTGAGCTCGTTCAGATATTTTAAAAACTCGCAGTTTTCATCTTCCTGTGCCATGTTGATGAGGGCGATTAGTATGTCAGTGACGTTGACGAACATTTTTTTTTTCCTCCTTGCTTCTAGCACCGCGTTGTGAAGCACCCGTTTGCAGTTTTCAGAAAATTTGATGTCTCCCTTTTCGTCCGGTACCTCGTTTGGCATCTCCTTTGACCACTCGTTTGAAAATTCTTTCGACAACTCCTTAGACAACTCCTTGGACACATCGCTGGAAAACTCGTCGGGCAGCTCGCCTGGGGTTGCCTGATCTAGCAGGGGCGGTCCATCGGGGGGATCCTCCAGATCTCCTGCGTGAGCTCCTAAAACGCGTTTCGCAGCGTCACGAATGAGTTTCCTAGCTGCTTCATCCCTGTCGTCTGTCCCCTCCACTGAGCTATCCACATCATCAACCTCGGTCGAAATGTCACTCTGTCCATTGTCGAGGTTTTTCAGTTGATTAATTTTGTCTTCTATGTCTTGAATGTGTTTGTTGATGAAGTTACTCATCAGTTTGTGTTCTCCATTTGGGTCTTCGTTCGATTGATAATCTTTTTCGCCATGTGCAATATCCTTTGTGTTGTTGTAAGAGGGGGGATGCTGATCTGTTGGTGTCCCCTCAATTGCATTCTCCCATTGTTGAGGTAAGTCTCCTGGGGGGTTATTTTGTTTGTCCTGGTTGGTGTCATTACTTGTCTCCCCCTCCTTTTTATTCATTTCCTTATTTAGCTTGTCTAGAAAGGTCGTTAGGGATATATTGAAAAAGTTTAAAATATGTTTTACCAAGTTGGAGTCAATTCTGATGATGGCAATTAGGAGGTGCTTTAATAGGATTTCCTTTTCGTTGTGATTTTTGGCCACTTCTCTGGCCATAATGAGTGCCCTTATGCACTTTTCATCATATTCGTCAAATAGGGACACGAATAGCTTGTTGTTTCTTGGCTTGATTTTCCCGCAGGTTTTTCTTAGGTGGAGTGTGTTGCATTTGTTCAGTTGGTAGGTGCTGTTTAGGAAGTTGGGCTTGGTTCTTGTATGTATGGTTACCACAAGTTTGAGCGTGAGCATGAAGAGCAGGAGGTAAATCGCGTTCATTTCCTGTTTGATTATCGATTGGAGGGAGATGGCCACATGCGTGTGCTTTAGGGGGGGAAAATGTGTGCACGTGGGGTGGGGTGGGGGTGCTGTTCTCACCTTTTAGGCCGCTCACCACTAGCCTGCTCAGCAATTCCAAATACCTGGCTTTGCGCAAATCACTTCCGTTGCTCAGATGGGACCCAACATTCCCGTATGTGGCGAAAGTTCTTTTTCTGCTTTGGTAAACAACCTGCCGCGCACACCTTGGGCCGGGTGAGAATAAGCCCCCAAGATTGGAGATGCGAGAAGGTGGGGTTTTACAACTACACAGAATTACATTGTTTTGTTTTTGCCATTTTTTCCTTTTCTCCTTTTGGCATATTTTTTTTTTTCTTTTTTTGGTTATTTTTTTATTTTTATTTATTTTTTTTTTTTAATCTCCATTTAGTTGGCTAGTCCCAAGGTTTTTCCCTTAAACGAAAAGCTATCCTTTTTAAAGCCCACATCGGGGGAAGAGTGCACAGTCAGGCTGTTACATATGTGACAGGGTTGATCGCCTTGGCCAGAGAAAGTTGATCTGGATAAACGTACACCCGCCCCGTAAGGCTTTGCCCTAAGGGTGCTTGATGACCGACCTGGTGAATGCACATTTTATTCTTGCACTTCCCAAGTCACTACCACAAATGCGGGAAAAAAAAAAAAAAAAAGCATCCCTTTTATGTGAACCGATCAGGGGGCGTGCACCCAATGAGGTTATTTCGTGTACCAACGTGAGTGCACATGCAACACGTTTTACAAGGTGCAGAACAGCACAACCTGAGAGCAGCTCAGGGAAGGAGGGAACAGGCTATCTCAAGCCTAACTGGACTTAACCAAATTAGACTAACATCTCTGCAAGAAAGCCAATATGCAGACATTACAAAAGAGAGTAGTGGGAAAAAAGGGGGTGCTAAATTGTTATGCTCCTTACCGCCCTTTCGGCTATACCAATAATTGTGTAAAAATGACTTTGGTTTGTCGCCCTCCCCTTTGCCGTAACAAAGTGTAGCACGTGGAAATGCCATAAGCGTGAAACATTTAGAGAGGCCAAGAATTGTGGCGCTGGGCAAGGTGGAGGCCATATATATACAAATTGCATTCTGGGCAAGTGGGGAAAAAAAGTAAAAATGGAGATGTGAACTTACAGTTGGAATGGCAACTAATGCGAGGCTAGGGACAATGGAGTACCCAGTCAACGTGCGCAGTTATCGGAAAATGGGAGAAGGAAAAAAAAAAAAAAAAAAAAAAAAAGAGGCGACCCATTGTGTGTGTGAAAAGTGAGTGTATCTAGTGTGTTCCGCGCAGTAGACTCTCTTAATGGGGTACTCTCCTTAGCGTTACGAAATTAGCATAAGGGGGATAATGCGAATATTGGGAGAAGCACACATAGGGGAATGGACAGAAAGGAATAGCTGCGTCTATTCTTATAGGAGCTGCTTCTTCTTTCTTTTGGAGTCGTCCGTAGCTGCCATTTGGGTGAATGGGCAGTAGACAGAGAAAGGGGAGGCGGAAAAAAAAAAAAAAAAAAAAAAAAATGGGACACAGGGAGGGGAAAAGAACGACGGATATATGATATAAAAAGTAGTGTAAATTAAGGACAAGTAAAACGAAATGGAATGATTTCCCAAATGTGTATAAAGTCAATTTTATGTGTTTTTTTTTTTTTTATTTTTTTTTTCTGATGTACCTCTGCGCAATTGTCGCCCGGAACGAAAAAGAGATCGTCGCACGTGCCGTCTCACCGTAGATGTGTATACAAACCTAGATGAAAACATTTAAAAAAGGAGGGGAAAAGCTTTGGCAAAATGTATGCCTTTGAAAAAAAAGAAGAAACTTATTTCACCAAAGCTATATATGCATACGGGATAAACAGGAACATAAAGAACCCATTTTATTTACTAGACGATAACTGCTTTTTCTATTGCATAGGAAGCAATGGAGTCATTCACTCCCTATCTGAGAAAAAACAAAAATTTCTACTTAGCGATGAAAGCAGTTACGGGATTGTATGTCTGGGGATAAGCAATGATAGGAAGCTCCTGGTGTTGGGGGAGAGGTCCATTAGGAAACCTTTCCTTTCCATATACACCAACAATTCTAAGCTCGTGAAAAGGTTAACCTTAGAACTTGCAGACAATGAATGTAAAATTATGAACATTTCATTTTCCTCAAAAAATAAATATTTGTATTGCTTAACGAATGGAAGTACCAAGAGCCTTTTCTTCTGTTACGACTGGCTGCATGAAAAGTTAATGTTTTGCAAAATTTTTTCGCCTTCCCTTTTTGGGGACTATTGTGAAATTTGCTTGAACGCGCAGAATTCGTCATACATTGCGCTGCTCTCGGTGTGCGCTTTGAATAGTGGCGTTAACAGCGGCGCGGCGAGCGGCGCGACGAGTGATGTGATTGGCCAAGTGAATGCCAATTTAACTGCCGATTGCACCACCCTTGGCCAGAGCCATGGCAACACTACCGAGCAGATGGACCCCGTCGAGGAGGGACACAAGGCGGAGGGGAAGAGGCCCCCAATGGGACCACCCACCCAGAGACACGTATTGCTCTACCATAACGTCGATAGAAACTTAGTAGAAATAAAAATAAAAAATAAAAAATTGGAAAAAATTGACCGTAATTTCACCAATTGCTGTTGGCTGAGTGATGGCATTCTACTCCTGACGAACAAAAATAATCATCTCATTTTTTACGATGTTAAGAAGGAGCATGTGAAGATATACCACAAGCATATGAGTAGTCGTCTGGAGGTTGTAAAAGTGGCTTGTCTTTCGAGGGGTTTTCTCCTCTTCGATTATGAAGGGGTGCATATTTATGAGAGATCCCCTGATGTGAGCACCAACATGTGCTACATGTCGAAGTATTATGTACAATTTAACTTCTCCTCCTTGATGAGTGGCTACTGCTTGGTTTCCCCTTGTGAGAAATTTTTGTATTTCCTGTCTCAGGATGGGAACTTGAAGAAGTTCGACATGTGGCGGGCGAGGTGTAGTGAGGGGAGGGGCGAAGAACAGGTTGCCAAGGATGGCAACAAGTGGTACAACGGGCTGGGGGGAGATAACCTGTCCGGGTTGAATGCGGACCCGTCGCTAACATGTGGTGACCCGTCGCCGACATGTGGTGATGATCACTCGCCGCTTGACATGGGCAGCCAGGCGGCCTTCAAGCACTACGATAAGCACATCGACACGGTACTGGAGGACGTAAGTCCCTCGAAGATAAACGATTTCGATGTGTGCATGAAGCCGCCGCTGATCATCCTATGTTACGACGACAACATGATAAAAATGATCAACTACAAGAAGAAGGAAGTGGTGATGTCTAACTCTTTTAACAACGAACCGTTACATTTGTCCATTCATTGTTCAGGTCATTTACTGCTGGTGGCTTTCACGGACAAGTTAAGACTCTTCCACATTTTGTATAATAAGTTAAAAATAAAAAAAGAATTTTTTTTAAAAAATTGTTCCTGTTGCAAATTTTCCAACGGAGGAAGTTTCATGGCCATTTCCAAAATTTCTACCATTTATATATACAAAACTTACACGTATGAATTGTTATATGTATTAAAGTCTCATGTGAATTACATCACCGACTTGGTGTGGAGTTGTAACGATTTCTCCATCTTCTCGATTGGCAAGGATGGCTACCTATTTGAGTACTCCTTATACAATAATGGAAACAAAAATATGGAACTGATGCAGAAGGATAACAAGTTTTTAAGTATTGATTTAGAAATTTTAAACGAAAAAAATAAAAAAAAAGAAAGCAATAAACAAAATAATGATAATACTCCGAATAGTGCCAAGTATGGAAGTGAGTATAAAAGTTTTAACAACCTTGGAACAAATGAAATGAAAAATGTTTTTGTTTCTTGTGATGATAAAACTATAAAACAATTTTGTAATTCTAAATTGGAGTGTGTGTTGGAGTCAGAATATGTGGTAGATAAAATATTGGTTTATAAAAATAAATTTCTTATTGCCTCATTTTATAATGGTTTTTACTGCAGAATAAGATTTTATATTCTTCCTCTTTGTGGGTTGTATTTGGAAATTCCTTGTCACATTTTGAATTGTGTTAATTTGAAGCTAGATGCAAATGGGGAGCTCCTTTTTAGCTGCTCCAGGGATGGCTCTATATATATGTTTTCGATAGAAAAAATGGATTCTTTTTTTTTGTTTCAAAATGATTCTTCCTCTTTAGGGCAAATTACAAACAGTGCACAGGTTGGAAATGTGGCCAGTGGAGCGGTGGAGGGTGATCACGAGGGAGGGGAAAAACTGCAAAAGGGGCAACTCTTAAGTAGCGCCAATGACACCACTGATGTGTACAGCGAAGAATTGGTGTCTAAGGGGAAAGTGCCTAGCGGAACGGACGATACAAATGGAAGGGAAGCTTCTTCCAACGGCGGTGTTCTCCCTACCGGAGCTACCACTACGGGGGAGAAGTTAAATCTGTCCGATTTGAATACAGAAAAGGGGGACACACAAGGCGGTGAAAAAGGAAGCGCTCATGACGGTCTAGAGGGACCCAAGCAGAAGAGTAAAATGAAAAATAACTTCCTCCTATATGACCTAGAAAACAAAACTAATTATGTTCTGAACGAAGAAGAAAAAGAAGGCGACGATATTTTGATTGACTTCTACTATGTACAGAAAAAAAATAAAGAATTTTTGGAATTACAAAAAAAAATTACAAATCTGAAAAACCAAATGGAACTGGAAATGAAAAATAGAGAATCGATTCACAAGTCGGAGATGAACAAACTGGATAAGCAGAAAAATGTAGAAATAAAAAATCTGCTAAAGATAAATAAAAACATCATCAAGGAAAAGGACAAAGTTGAGAACACGTGTAAGGAATCTTTGTACGAGTTGGAGGAAAAGCACACCTGTTTTGTGAATCAGCTAAATGCCCAATTTTATTTAACGAACAAAATATGCGAGGAAAAATTTTTGAAAATTCAGGAAGAGTTCAATTTATATAAAAAGAAATCGACAGAGGAAATCCTTGACCTGAAAAAGGAGCACCAAATGAAGGTGACACAACTGATCGCGCAAAAAGACGAGGAAGTGAAGAAGAAGAACGAATTTATAGAAAGCCTTAAAGAGAAGTATGAAAACCTGCAGAGGGAAAAGGAGGAGTACATAAAACAGATTGAGGATGACGTGGATGAGGAGATCCTGCTCATATCCCAGAAGTATGAGAAGCAGATTGGCGAGCTGAAGCAGGACAAGTACGACTTGATGGGAAAGTTCAAGCTCTATGAGCACATCGAGGGCGAGCTGAAGGAGAGCATTCAGCTGGAGAAGGAGAAGTTTGTGAAGAACAACATCACAGCGAAGCGGCTGCAGGAGGTGAGAGTTGCGCACGGGGTGGAGGGAAATCTTCCTGTGCGCGTCGCCATGCGTCGTGATGTCTTCCGTGTGTGCATCGGTCGCTTCGTGTGCGTTGCGATGTATGCTGTGTGTACCTCGGTCACGTCGTATGTGTCTGCACTTTGTTTGATGCCCACTTTGTCCCCCCACCCGCAGAGCATTGACCACCTGAAGGGCGAAGTGGCGACTCTGAAGGACAACCTCGTGGAGAAGGACGACGAAATCGAGTGCATGAACAAAGACATCTCCAACTTGAACAAAAAAAATGAAGAACTGGAAAAGTTGAAAATCGTGTTGTCACAAAAAATAAAAGATTTAGAGTCCAATTTAGCCCCAAAAAATTCAGAAATAAAAATTATGAGAGAAAAAATTGAAGAAATGTCAAAGTGCTTTGAAAACAACCACAAAAAAACAGTCAACTTGCAGATCGAAATTAACGAATACAAAATGAAGATAAAATCTTTGCATGATGATTTGGTATGTAATAATAAAACGATTGGAAATTATGAAAAAATTTTGAAGAATTTACAGGAGCATATTAAGGAGTGCTATTTGCACCTTCATGATAAGAAAATCTTTAACGCGTCCTTCTTGAATTTGTACAATAAGTTCCACAAGGTGAATGACGTGAAGAACTACGACACGAAAAATGTGTTTTCTGAATACTTGCGCCAGAAGGAACATTTGGAGAATATGATTGATGTGTTGAAAGACAAGTTGCAGAAGGAGTCGGAGGCTTTCCGCACGGAGAAGATAAAGATGATGAACGAGAATTCGCTCCTCCTCAAGGAGATTAACGATTTGAAGGTGGACTTGAATTTCCTAAAGGCGGAGTGCCACAATGCCAAACTGATTAATCGCAAGATCCAGTTTCTGCGCAAGTACAACAAGAAGGGTGGGGTAGGGAGCGCAACGAAGCAAGTCCCCCCGGAGGGGTAACATGTGCGAGGGTGTGTAGCCGCCTCATCAATCGGCCTCTTCACTAATCAACTTGCTGCAGAGCGGAGTCAACTTGTAATTTTTCTGAATTATTAAATTTTTCAAATTTGTAAAGTCTTCGCGCATGTTGAGTTCTTTAAAGGCCAAGAGGACGAAGCCAAGAGTGCTGATGTTGATTTCGAGAGAAGGCGTCCCTTTTTCTTGCATAGTAATTAATTCAGCGTAAAGCGAAATGACCACGTCGTATTTTTTACAATTTATACAAGCAATCATGGCGTCATTGTAAAGCTTTAGTAAATCTTCTGATGATACATTCATCATTTTAGCTACCCTCAAAACATAAATGGCGTAATTATATATTCCGCAATTTTTAAAAGCATTAATTGTATATACAAAGGGAATAATATTATTCTTACTTAATAATTTTTTCATTTGCATTTCTTTAAAAAGATTGAAGGCCTTTTGATAATCATCGACAATGCTATACACATTCAACATATAAGCATAAGAAATAGCATTTGGACTTAACATTAAATCATCGAATTCATTTTTCCACACTTGTTCGATGATGTTAATTTTTGCATGCACACTTAATGCTTTTAAAATATTATTTAGGATATTAACATTTAAATATTTTTTAAGATTTTGATCATCCTTCAGTTTGTTATAATACTCAAGACACTTGTCACAATTTCCATTTTTTGCCAATAGGTCGAATATGCTTTCGAGGAGGAGGGTAGAGGGCATGTACTTTCCTGTGTTTAATAATTCCTCAAAATATTTTATTCCTTGTTCAGGTAAATTGGACATATTGCATGCGAAGATTACATTGGCGTATTCGCTGTACTGGATTTTGCTGCTTCCCTTTTCGATGTGTTTGATCTTGTTGGTTATTTCTTTAAACTGATTTGTGTAGGTGTTTCCTTCCTCCTTTGCGTTGTCGTCTTCTGTGGTGGCCTCTTCCGCAAAGGCATCCTTCCACACGCGGTTCCCGCCATCAGCACCGTTCTCGCCATCACCGCTATTCTGGCCATCACCCGTAACGTCGTCCCCCCAGTTGTTTATTTCCTCCACCATGGGGTCGCTGCGGAGCTTCTCCAAAAATTCGACCGCCTTGTGTCCGTCCCCCGCTTTGGCAAAGCAGCTTATCATGAGAGCGTAAATTTCGTACGTGGGAGTCAACTTGTCTGTCTCTACCATTTCGTCAAATAAAATTTCCGCGTGCTCCCCCATGTGGTAATTTTCACATAGACGCAGCAGTAGCTTGTACGACACCAAATCTGGTTTTATGTTTTTTTTTTTCATTATTTCGAATATCTCTAACATGCTTTTCAGGCAGCCCTTTTTTTCCACTGCCGACATGGCCGCGTTGAAAGCTAGCGTAGTCGCGTCCACGTCTCTGCTGGTGTAGATCAGGTTCATCACTTTTATCCAATCCATGTTTAGCGGGACAACGCTTTTTTCTACTTCTTTCTGCGCGCCCTTCTTATTTAAAATGTCTTCATCGGGCTTGGGGTCGTGCATAATGTCGTGGTTAGGGGTGTGGTTAGCGGCGTGGTTAGCGGCATTGTTAGCGGCGTCCTGGTTATCCTCTTCGGGGGGTTCCCACGTCGAGGTGGAGCCAGTGTGGTCGTCCTCCCCCATGCTGCTGCACAGGTGGGATAGCCCTCCCCCTCCGCTCTTGGTAAAAATGTTCACTTCCTCCCTTTTGCCATTTTCGTATGCCCTACGCCAAATGTGTTTCCTTCTTTTCCCCCCGCCTTTTGTTCCTACCACATTGTGGTCAACGTAATTCACAAAAAAAGCATCGCTCTGGTTGTTTCGCCATTTTATGCATATCACACTTGGGATTATATAAAATACGTAGCACCAGTATTTCAGTTTCATTTAGTTTGGCGAGAGTACAGCGGTCGGCTGCCGGTGTGCGTGTTCTTTTGGTTTAGGAGCAGAGAGGGGCTGACCCTCTTTTTCGTTTTGTTCGCCTTAACAAGTGGGAGGTGTGTGCCTTTGCGATTTTTCCACTCATTATGGGGAACCTACAGTACGAAACGAAGTGTAAACAGGAGTAGGGTTACTCTGCGATCGCGACATTTTTTCTCCTACGCTGAGCGGTGTAAATACATACACGGAAAGCTTCCTTGCAGATGTATGTCCCGTCCCTGTGTAAACTTAAACCTCATGGGCAACGCACATCGGGATACAAATCCTAAATGTACGTTTCGCCGTTTTATTCTACAAGAAGAGATGGTTGGTTAGAGCATTGTCGGAGGGAAGCGGCTCCTTTTGGGGGCAGTTGGCATGGTAAAAAAAAAAAAATAACCTAGCGCACCAAAAAAAAAAAAAAACGCCTAAAAAGGGGGCATCTTTTAGAAGGCAACCTACATGAGGGCCCACCACATCAATCTCTCATAACCGCAACAGTTTAATTAAAGAGTTGGTATCCTCTGGTGAAGTTTTTTTTTTTTTTTTTTTTTTTTTGCAAAGTCAGAAAAGGGAGCAACTAGCCATTCGTGTTGATGCTTCCCCTCACTTTGTCATATTTCTTAAAAATTTCAGGATTCAAAAAATTACAAAAAAAAAAATTGAAACTGGAACGTGGATATATGTTTTAAGGAGGGGTGTTTCAAGAATTGGTGTAAAAAAGGGAACCGCCTGTTGTGTTCACTGGCCCTATTGGGCGATGTGTGTGTGTACGCATGTGTAAACAAAAGCTAACACGCACTGAACGAAAATCCAAGTCCAACTGATGCGGAAACTCTCTCAAGAGAGACACACTTCCCTCGCGCTACACTCACGTTGAGGAAGCGTGCAAACGGGCCTGCCTAGCAATGTCTATATTATTAGGGCATAGAGAGTCGACACCCATTTTTATATAAAACAAATGGTCTTCGTATTGATCCTTATCTTCAGTGCCCCAGTAAATCATAATTTTTTTATTACTATTATGTAGCGTCTGGAAGAAGTCCTTGGCGGGAATAACGATTTGGTTTCCTTCATTTCCATTCATGACGACTGGTTGTTTGAAGGATCTATACGAAAAATGTGCCCACTGGGCATTATAATACTTCATGGTGGAGAAAATGGAAGTAAAATTTGGCATTACTTCATCGTCTGAAAATAACAGAGCAACAGGGATATTTAATTTGTTATTTCTAACAGCTTTTAATAAATCGATTTGTTGCAACTTGTCATGGGAATTTTCCCCCATATTTTTTTCTTCACTTTGTTTTTTCATCTGTCCATTTTGTAGTAGCCATGTGAATGAGCTAAATTTGATTTTATAATTTTTGTAATTCTCGAGTATGTCCAGTAGGTGAATTCCCAAATCTTCTTGTGTTCCCTTCAGCTCAATGTCGTAAGTTATTTGGGTCTTATACAAATTTAATAAATCTTTTAAAAGTGGTACGTGAGAAAACTTTGATAAAAATATGAACAGCTTTTTTTTTTTCTTCAAGTCATAATTTTTTTTCATTACGTAGTTTGTGTAGAGGTCTTTGCAGTAATTGCATTTTATGGAATTAATAAATTTTTCCTCTAACAGTTGGTCATTCATTTGCGTGCTCGTTTTGTCTGTGAACGATTTGTGTAGTTGACCCTCCGCTCCTTCTTCATGTTCCTGTTCCTGTTCCTGTGGAAACAAATCCTGAAGAGAATTTTCGTTAAGCATTGTTTCCAGCTCATCAAGCTCATCCATATTTATGTAGGGCTGGTTGTAATCTGCGTACTCCATGTGTTTCTTGCTCTTTTCAGTTTCACTGAGGGTAGCGAATTTTACATTTTCTTGTACATTCTTCGTGAGGGTTTTCACACCATGTAAGTGAGAATGTCCACCTTGATCATGACCGCTGTTATAATTTGAGACGATGTTACTGTTGTGGCTAATTACACCTTCTCCCTCCGCATGGTTAGTTGCGACGTTTTCTATTTGTACATTGGATACACCTGACGCGGTGGAACCCTGTTGATAAAATTGCTTCCCTTTGGTTAAGATCCATGGTTCCTTAAAATGATAGCTCTGAATTTCCTCAGCTGTTAATTCTTCTATGTGTTTATTTTTTGAATCTTCATCGTATAGTAAGGTGTGTCCAAGTAGCCCATCCTCCGTGCCATGGATAACCACAACTTCCTTGTCCTTGGTTAGCCATACATCTAATTCAACTCCATCAATGTTCTCATCCACTGCTTTCTTAAATGAGTACAATGAATTTTCCGGGTAGGGGGAAGTACCGCCCGCTTCACTGGTTCCACATCCTCGATGACCAACTATGCTGGTCATTTGGATCACACAATTTTTGAGAACGTATAAAAAGGCGGCGAATAAAATGAACTTGCTCTTACTAATACCCATTTAATGTTTTTTTTTTTTCCTGTGGAACTACAGGGGGTCGGTGGGTATGTGCCTCTGCCTTCCTGCCTGACGGGTGGTTACAATTATATGTATCAACACACCCGGACACGGTGGGGTGCGTGGGGGAAAGGATGTATATGTGCGACGCACTCCTACACCCTTGCACGGGGGAACATACATACAGGGGGATGTGTGCACAGGAAATTTAGCATGCATGAGGTCGGGGAAACAAATAAGAAAACAAGGGGACAAAAGTGGCCAAATTAAAATAAAAGTGATGGCAAAAATTATCTATGCAGAAAGGCAGCTCTGCCTAGGTGCACAGCCTGTACGAAGCTAGCCAAAGTAGCAAAAAAAAAAAAAAAAAAAAAATGGCAAATCAGAGCAAAATGCTGAGGTGAAGCAAAACAGGGTGAGAAAAATATACCCAAGATAAGGAAGCAATATAACAAAGGAAGGGGCAGTACGGAGAAACAAAGAGAACGGCTGAAAAACGCAAAAATGATATTGCTATAATGACATTTAGGAATAGTTCATGAATATATGTTGGGTGGCCTTGCCAAGGGGGGGTAAAGAATAACAGGTAACTAGGTTTAGAAAAACTCCCCTAAAAGGGTGGGGACAAAGTTTCCAAAGGAGAGGAAACGGCGATGTGTTTTACCCTCCCCACTAAAGATAAAAATTGAAAATTTTGGCCTTATATATCTGTTTACTACAAATATGAAAAATTTTTTTTTTTTTTTATAATAAAATGGTGGAAAATTGTATTTTCACTTTAAAGGTAACTACTTTCTGATTTCTCCCGTTAGTCGCATGTAACTATTTATGTTGTTCCTCTTAAAATAAAAAAAAAAAAAAAAAAAAATAGATAAACGAAGTAAGTGCGTTTATTTTTTACTCCGTTTTATTTCAGCAAACTAGGCCATTTCGCACGACAACCTAAACTAAAACTGCTGCTTGAAAACTACGCCGGCAAGAGGCAGATTGACTAAACGCCTACATATATATATGCAACGCGGACAAGGGTGGAAAAGTAGGTATAGAACAATAAGCACAACAGGCGCGTTGTAGAGAGGCAGGAGAAAATGGATCAAGGGAAGTGCGCATGTGTGTGGGCATTTATCAAGGTCAACATTGATCTCCACATATATGCCAATGTGTGCATTTAACCGGTTATATGGAGAGAAGGATTAACTGCTACGAATAAAAAGGAGGAAAAATCATCAAATAGGTTTTTTTTTTCTGCAGAAGTTCACCTTTGGAGGAACTGTCATTATTTGTTGTTAGCGAAATATAATGCGCTTCACAAATGCGTGAGGATTAGAGAATGTTTACTATAAAAATAAAAATTGTGCATTTCCTTAATGACCACCTTTCTTCATATCGTGGTGCAGCAAAACAAAAGAAGAATTAACGCAAAAGCGGTAACAACGGTTTCTGAGTTGTGTAGAAATGCATTGTGGCTTTTATTTTTATTATTATTACTATTATTTTATTTTTTTAAAACTATATTTACAAGGTCAAACTTGCGCTGCTCTGCTTCCTCCTATATTATAGGACAAAGTCCTTCGAAGAGGGTCCCATATCAGGACGTGGAGGGAACTAGAGCGATGTCGTTTTACGTCCCGCCTGCGGAGGTGTGTTTGAAAACGGTCAAGTTTTTCTTATGGAAGAGGGGAATAAGAATAAAAGCTGCTATGGATGATGCTTGTCCCAATATTAACACACATGCGTAAAGAAGTGTTTCCACTTTTTAGCTATTGCACGATAGTTCAAATTTGTTTAATGTTAATTTTGTTTGTAAGAAAAACCGCATTGTTATTTATTTTCCATTTAGCAACTTCAATACATCAGTTGGCTGTTTTTTTTTTTTTTTTTTTTTTTTTTTTTTTTAAAAAAAATGGCTAGTTGAAAAAAAAAAAAAAAAAAAAAAAGACATTATTTATGTTCATTTAGGTTTTTAAAAATGTGTGTTAAGCGACTTGGCGCGACGAAGCTTCGGCTCCGTTGCACGAAAAATACACTATACGTCAAATGCTCTCCCCGTGAGAATGTATGTTAATGCATGTGCACGCGCTAAAGCACGACGCGCAAGGGAGGAGAGAGGAACAAATATATTCCCCTTCTGAGCTTCATTCGTGATCAGGAAATTGCACACAAAATAGGGGCGAGTCAGTAGAAACTGGCCTATACAGTCCTCTACGCACACTACGGTTAAGTTTTTTCATCACAGTTGGCGGTACCCCCTTGGGTAGGTATCACATCGAGGTTGTATACGTTACGGCGCAAATGTAGGTGCCATTTCAGTCGGCTTGTAATCCCCCCCCCCCCTTTTTAAGGTCTTCCCCCGCGGAGCCGGCGGTACTCCTCCATCTTTCTCTTCTTCTCGTTCATGTACTCCTGGCGCTCGTTCTGTCTGTTCCAGTACCCCTTCTCCTTCCACCAATTAATAAGATTTTTAAAGTTGCGCTCGGCCCTGGTCCACAGTTTGAAGGATTTGTGGTCCACGTAGATGGAGTCCTGTAGCACGAAGTGGCCCTTGGGATGATGGTCGTTGTTATAATTTGCGTAAAGCTGTTGGTGGTGATTATGTGGGGGGATAACCATGAGGGTAAATCGGAGCGGGTTAAAGTCTGGAATGGGAGTTTTATCATTTTCGTTGGCATTTTTTTTTGGCGGGAATGGAATGGGTGGGATAAGGGCCCAGACGATGTGTTCCGGTTTGAGTAAACTTTCTTGTGACAATTCTTTTCTAATTTCTTCCAACTGTTTTTTTCTCTTACACTTTGGATGGTTGTATAATTCGATTAGATTTTTTTTTAGTTTATCACAAAAGAGGGAAATTATTTGGTCAATGGAATGGAACTGTTCATTATTTATAAGGTACACTTGTTGAATGCCCTGCATGTTTTTATATAGGGAGGCACTCGCAGTGTTGCCTGCATGTTGAATATTTTTCTCGTACACAGTAAACTTGGCTATAATGAAAGGGTCATCTGAGGTTTTTACATGTAAGTATAGTTTGTTGAGTTCGTTCGAGGGATAGATGATGGACTCCCCAATTCCAATGTTGGTCTGTTTAAGATATGCACGCACTTCATGATAATTCCATAATTTGAAATGAGGGTGATTTATAAGTTTTTTGTTTTGGTAGTATTTATTTTTATTTTTAATTTTGAGTTTCATTTTTTGCTGTCTACTGTTTGCGTTGGAGCGGTTTGCCATGTGTCCATGTGGATTCGACTGATTCTGCTCCGCTTGGTCTTCGTCGTCCTCATCTTCTTCATCAAAATCTTCCACGTCTTCATTGTCGTTTAATTTTCTAAAATGATTTTGTATGAACGTGTTTGTGTCGTATTGTATGTCTAGCTCGACCAGTGGAGAGAGATAATTATAAGTGATTGGCCCTTTTAAATTGTCCATGAAGATTTGTTCCTTAATTTTTTTCATGTTTTCTTCCGTTACGACTACGTGAAAGTTCGTTTCGAATCGGTTATACATATTGTAGCTGATGGAAGAGATTCTTCCTTTGATTAATTCACCTAGCACGGAGTTGTTAATATATTCAGGGTCCTTCAAATTGTTGTTATGTCCATAATGGTGGTGTCCTTTATGTGAAGAGTTTATATTTTCTAAATTGGAGTTAATTAGGTTCATCCTGTCCATGTAATATTTTCTTAGTTGTCTTAAGAATTCTTTTGAGTCGGTAATGATTCCCTTGATGTTGTAGGGTAATATTGTTATCTTAATGTAATTATTATTTTTGTTCAGGTAGTCCATTTTACACACAACTTCAGATCCAATGGCTAGGTTTTCTTTTTTTTCATTAATTATTAGGTAGAACAATTCTTCTTCTTTTTTTTTCTCGTAGTTGTAACGGTAGTCTTTATAAGGATACATGAGTTCCGTTTGAATGAACTTGAGGTAGGGGTAAATGTAGATTTTCTTATCATCATAGAATCGTCTGGAATAATCTTTTATTTCCATATTTCGAATAAGTTTTTTTTTATTAATAATGTAATTTACAATGTCGTAGGTGCTTTTTAAAAAATTATTTTTTTTGGTGTCAATGACATTTTTGAACAGATCCTGAATAATGTCGTAGCAATTCAGGGGGTGTATCCTCGTGTTGTCCAGTGCTTCCACATACTCATCCCCATGTCCAATAATTCTAATAAAAGAGGAACAGTTTCGATAGATGCATTTTCCTATTAGATTCTTATTTGAAGATAGGGTTAGTAGATCCTCCCTTGTACTCAAATTTCTGTTATGCAAAAGTTTAATTAATTCTTCCCTTTTTCGTAAACCTAATCCGGCGACGTAACTTAACATGACTCCCAAGTGTTTTTTTTTTTTCTTCAAAAAATTAATGTCGCACCCAGTTTTGTTTACTACATCTACTATGATTCTGTGGAAGAGAGCTTCCAATTTGTAGCTGCAAATATATTTCTGCAAATCGTGTAGGCAAATATTAAACATGTTTTTGTTTTCTTCTTCGAAAAGGGATATAACTACGCACAGGGGATTTTGCACAAAGCGGCACAGGGACAGACCGAGTAAAGCCTCCCTGGGGTATTTGCTCGTCAAATCTGCGCTGTACTTTTGGCTGTTCGTTACTATGCTTGGGATGTACAGATTTTCTGGTATTACCACGTATTTTCCATGTGTTCCCGCCACATGGGGGGAACTACTCGTGAGGTGTGCGCTTTTGTCCATGCCCCCTGCTCCTCCATTGACCAAGTTTAACACGTACGAGTAGACGAGGTAGGAGTACACGTCCCTAACCCCGACGGCTATGACATCTGGTTTGATTTTCTTAAGGAAGTTGTTAAATATGTTAATATCTTGTGTAATTTTTTCCTGCTCCACTGGCATTTTTTCCTTTTTAGCAATATCTAGGTATATATTGTCGAGGTAGATGTACTCGACAATATCACCGTAGATGTCGCAAGCTATTATGTGTAGTCTGATCCCATAATTTATGGGTTCACATATTATGGAGACCACTTCGTATACGTTATGATTTTTTTTTATACTTTTTAGAATTTTTTGTTTTTTTTTTTCTTCGTCTGGTTTGTTAGAAATGTAGCTTTTTCCAGATTTGTCCGAGTAGTTATCATCATCGTACAGATTCTTCATGTAGGCATTTTTTTTTTCTTTCATTGTTTCCTCCGATTTGTATTCCTCCTCACTTTCAACGGAGTGCGAAGAGTCGAACAGTTCCGACTTATTCGATCGCTCAGCCGACTTGTGTTTTGCATTTTGCTCCGTAGTATGATCCCAGTTGGGATCTGCGCTCTGGTCTGCACCTTGATCAGTAGCCTGATCAGCACCGAGATCCCAATTGGTGCCTCCTTTTTTGTTTCCCTTTTGTGTTTCATTCGTGACCTCGTCAGTGTCTCCCCATTTGCTTTCCCTCTTTTTGTTTTTTTTCTCTTCCTTGTGCACTCGGCTGGACTTTTTCCCACCATCATCATCGTCACCACTGCTGGTGTAAGATTCATCACTGTAAAACTTTTTCTTCACTCCATGGTGGAGATGCTTGCTGTCCCGATCATTATACTTAGTGTAGGAGTCTCTGCTGTGATAATCTGAAGAATAATTATCATCGTCTTTGCTATTTCGTCGATCCATACTTAGATCTGTGCTGCTTTTCCTATTTCGTAGTTTGGCCTTTTCTTCCTCTGCATTTTTGTAAATTTTAATGGGCTTCACATTGAGGGTGAGATAGAAGGACTGATGGATGTAGACCATGAGCCAGTTTTGTGCACTCGCAAGTAGCAAATTTTCTAGGTTTTTTTTAAAGAGGGGCAATAATTCTACACAGAGGAAATTATTTAAGATTTTTTTCTGCACATGTACGAAGACGTTGGTGTCTTCAAGATCATTGTAGCAGTAGGCGTAGGACAATTGTTTTAGTAAGTTGTTGATCCATTCATTGTCCATTGCTTCCGCTTTGGCCAGTTTATTTTTTTCCTTTTCCAAGTATGCTTTTAAATTTCGATCATTTGGTTTTTTTTTTTTCTTTTTACATTTTTCTCTTTCTACAAAATCTTCCGTTTTCCACGGCACGGTTTCTTGTGGCAATATGGGGTGGATAATTAGGTGCACTAACTTGTTATCTCGGTTTTTTAGAATTTCTAAATAGATGTGTTTGTACTTGTGTTTGGTGTAGTAGTTTTCTAACTCTCTCTTCTTGAGGTCCATACTGACTTCGCTTTCGTCCAGCTGGGTGTTGAACATGTTTACATTGTAGTTGTGTACGTAGCAGGGGTCGTGTGAGGCGCGGTAGGTCGTATCGCTTGTACTCACGTCGGTGCTCCCACTACGTCCGGCGTCGTTCCCCACTTTATATTCGCCGCACAGCAAGTGATGCACAGGGAACCTAAACAACCGGAAGGAGAAGTAGTCTGGGCTACTGACATCGATGTGTACTTCCCCTTGGCTAGTGCTGACAGTTGTGAGGGATGCATATTTGAGGAAGAAAAATCTTAAAATGTATTTCACACAGGGGTGGGAAGCCAAGAGTTTGGCGTAGTAACAAATGAGGGTCTTGAAGATCTCTTTATTGTTTGAAACTTCTCGAGTGAAGAATGACTTACACCACTCTTCCATGTGGCTCTGATTGTTCACATCGTTGCCGTATATGTCCGGTACATTTGTCACCATATGTTTAATCATGGAGCAGTTATAGGTGAAGGTGGTTAATTGGTCCTTTCCATCTTTCTCTTTTCCATGTGTCGCTTTTCCATCTGTCGCTTGCCCATGGTGCGCGTCCACTTCATGTTTTTCATACTTGTAACTTTTGCTATCCCCATATTTGTACTCATCGTAGTGGTGTTGCTTTTCCTCACCCTCTGCATGCTCTGCTGGCCAAATGGTTTGATCCTTTATTAGGTCATACATGTAAGCCATGTTTTCATAAAACTGTTCTGTGGTGAGGAGGTAGTCATCCCATATGTTAAATTTATTTTTTTTTACATACTCGAGGAAGAGTAAACCTGGGACGCTTTTTTCGTTATATAGCTTTGGTTCTGCGTTTTTCTTCATCACTTTCTTTTTTTCCTTATTTTTATTTGAGCTATTTTCCTCGAGTAGTTTATCCCCAAAGAGGTCATCGGCTGCATTTTCATTTTCAGAGTCTTCATCATTTGTGCCCCCAGAATGGACATATCTTTTTTCCTTTCCTGGACTTATGGCAGATGTTGTAATGGACACATCTTCATTTGTTCTAGCACCATTTGCGCTTGCCAGATGGCCGCTTCCTTCCCCGTCTTCCTTGATGCAAAGAATGGAGGAGTGTTTGCCCTGCACATTCTCCTCTTCCATCTTCATTCCCCGAAACATATCATTCTTAGCATAAAAATAATATATGTTGATGTCCTCATAGTACAAGTCATTGGTCTTATCGAGTATATCAAATACACTGGAATGGATCTTATAGGAAGTACTTAACAACTTGAGCCTATTTCTTAGCTTATTCATTTTCATGAATGTTTTATACCAGAGTTTGTCCAACTCATATATGTCCCACAGTATATTTAAATTGAATGGGGGAGAGATCAAATAAAATTTGTGAAAAAAAATGAATGGAATTTCATTTTTATATTTTATTAATAAGGTTAATGTGAGGATACATTTTTTTAATAAAAAATTATCACTTAGAAATTCCTGTACATTTATATGGCTGTACGTGTTGTCGTAATTTTGCTCGATCATTTTTTCCATATTTCTTGTGGTGAAATAATTAGGATATTTTTCTTTCAGCTTTTGTATTATCCACTTGGATTCTATGAGTAACAACTTTTTGGTTAGTTTGCTTTTTCTTTTCTTATAGGAGAAGTAGAACCTCTCTGGGGTGTCGGAGTACCTGATTAGGTCATCCTTTTTTGTTAATAACTGATTGAGTCTTTCATCTGGTTCTGCGATTTTTTTCCATTTGTTTGATATTATATCTAATTTTTTTTTTTTTTTTTTTTTTTTTTTCTTTTTCTTTTTCTTTTTTGATTTTTTTTTTCCCTTTTCAGTTTTTGCCGACTTTTCCTTGGACTCGATCATGTCTTCCTCTCCGAACAGATCCATCTGGTTTTCTTCCACTGCTGTTTTATTTTCTGCGTCGACTTCTTTCTCTTCCCCTTCGCCCACTTCTTCGTCCCCTTCCTCTTCCTCTTCCTCGTCGTCTTCTTCCCCTTTTTCGCTTCCATCTAGGATGCTTAAAACTTTCTTCTTTTTCACCTTGCCGCTTTTCCCCTCACCATACTTGTCGCGTTTCCTTATGGCGTCCTCGTAGTAGGGCAGATCATCAAACTCGTCAAAATCGTCGTACTCCTCGTATTCTTCAAATTTGTCGTACTCCTCATCGCATACTTTCTTGAATTCGCGCTCGTAGAGTTCGCGGTCGCTGTCGCTGCCTCCGTCCAGTTCGTCGTCTTCATCAGGTGCGTCATCCACACCATCGTCATCCTCCTCCTCGTCATCTTCCTCTTCATCGTCCTCGTCATCGGTGGAGTCGGTGGCGTCTTCTTCCTCTCCTTCCTCCGAGACATACCCCTCATGTTCTTCCTCATCCACATCAGGGTCGTAATCGGAGTCATCCTCCAAGCCCTTCTTTTTCATGTCTTGATTAATTTGATCGAAAAAGCTGACCGCTTTTTTTTTTTTTTTTTTTTTAATTCTCCTGGGTCCTTCTTCCTCCTCCTCATCGTCCAGAAGGTTGTCCCCAGAGAACAGATTGTCATTTTCATGACCTTCACGGTGTCCCTCCTCGTGGTCGTCATCCTCGTCTTCTTCGTCGTCCTCCTCCTCTTCCTCTTCACCTTCCTCCTCCTCATCGTCTTCCTCCTCATTTTCGTAATCGTATTTTTTTTTCTTCTTCGCAGGGGATACATTGATGATATCCAGGACAGTATTAACGTCTCCAAACGTTTGGCTAATAATGTCATGGATGTAGGAGTCTGTTTTGTACATATTGTTGGAAGAGATTGGGTACCCTTCTTCTTCTTCCTCCTCCTCTTCCTCCCCTACGCCGTTTTCATTCTCGTCACCATCAGACTGGTTGTCTTCATAATTGAACAAATCGTTTTTCTGATCCACCTTCTGCTTCTTCAGTGTTGTTTCGCTATCATCAATAAAATATTCTTTATCCCTTAAGCGGTCGATTTTGTTTTCACTTATGTTATCGCTCTTTGCATTATTTGCATACAAGTTATCGTCTCCATCATCATTATCATCATCGTCGTCGTGGTCTCCACCTTGTAAGTCTTTAATCTTTTTTAATCTCCTATGCTTGGTGTCTTTTTCATTTCTAACGACTTGCATTCCTGTGTTTTCTGCGATTAGTTCTAGGTCTTCTTCGTCTAGGCTTTTGTTTTCAAAATAATCATAATTTTTTTTTTTTTTTTTTTTTTTTTTTTTTTTTTTCCCTTCTTCTTCATCATCATCATCGTCTTCCTCCTCTTCGTCATCTTCGCTGTCTACAATGAATCCTTTCATTTCGTCTTCCTCTTCATCTTCTTCCGCGTCGTCGTCCTCTTCCTCCTCATCATCGCCGCTGCCTGCATCCTCGTCTTCGTCCTCTTCACCACTATCCTCTTCTTCTTCTTCTTCGTGTACCTCGTTCTGACCTTTCTCTTCACCTCCCTTCTTCGCCGTACTTTTGCCCTGGTGTTCATTCACACCTTTGGGCTTCTTCCTACGGCTATCTGCCGATTTATCAGTTCCCTTTTTGCCACCCCCTTCCTCTCCCTCCGAGTCACTTTCATAGTCCTCGTCAATAATTTTTTTACTTTTTTTATTGTGCTTGAAATTGTTTGAGATTTGCACGCCATCGTAGAGTTTCGTCTGAGGGTCTGGATGTTGCTCAGGTGGATGATCTGGCTGCTCCTCCTCGTCGCCTTCATTCCCCTGCAGCTTCTGTTTGAGTCGCTTAAAATTTCTGAAGAGAAACCCATCACTTTTTCTCTTCAGGTTTGACGGGTCTACATCCTCCACTGGATCCTGTTCATTCTTGTTCTGCGTCGTTTGGTCCGGCGCCATGCGGTTTGCGTTTCACGTTAGTTCTTCTTTTTTTTTTTTTTTTCACAACACTTTCTTGTTCTTTCGTTCATTTGAGCATGTATCCCTTTTGTGCGCATCTGCTTCGCCAAAGCAAACGATTTCGACGTTGCGCGATGGTGGGCAAGCAGATGGGTACATTCAGACTGCACGCACTTGAAGTCTGCCCAGCGGTCACATTCGCAGGTGCGCGCTGGGTGTACAGCTATGTAATGGCGGGGGATGGGGCGAATCGCTACAAGGGGAACTCTTAAAAATGGGCGGTTAAAAAAGGGCCCTTTTAAAAAGGGTCTGTTAAGAAGGGTCCTTTCACAAGGGAACTGTTGCAAACGACATGTTGCAAAGAGGTCACAAAAAGTAAAGGTTAAAAAAAAAAAAAAAAGGCTATTATTCCCCCCTTCGCTGGCGAGAATAGAAGCCACAAATTTATCACAGTGATGACATAATTAGTCATGCCACTATATTCATAACTGGGGAAATACATCCTTTGCGCATAAAGTTCGCGCAATTTTAAAATACCACGTTTTGGTTTAAAAAAAAAAAAAAAAAAAAAAAACTCGCCTCAAATTCAACCACAGGGGGAAAATGAAATTCTTCGCTGCATCATTTTGGAAAGATATAAAAGTTGCTTTCTATAAATGTGCTATATTTTACAATCCCGTGTAGGGGGGCACCCAAAAAGCGGAGCGCCGACTGACGTGCGGCTTCCACGATGAAGGATTGTAGCCGCCAAATATGCTGGCTCATGTTGCGCAGGGATGCATGTGCACGCTACTTAAATGCATGTATAAGCTTGTATGCTCCATATGGAAGAATGCCCTTTTCGCCATATGTGCCTCGCCGCACACGCTCTACGCTAGATGACGTACTCATAAAACCTGCGGCGGAGAAAACATCTCAAGGGCGCTTACAGTTCGCATCGGTTTGCAAAATTCAGAATTAACCCGTGTAGAACAGCTGTGCTGGAATTTGACTTTATTTCCTCCCTCCTTTGGCTGGTAGAAAGAAATTGTTTGGCTTTCCTCCCCATTTGGCAGATTTCTTCCCCCTCTTTTTTTTGCTGGTATATGAGAGTTGCCCAGTTGGCGATCGTCTTTAAGGATAAACGTGGCACTTGTTGATAGAAAAAATAATAATGCGTTGCCATAGAAGGGGGGAGGGGAACAATGAACGCATATAATATTGCGTATAAAAATGTATTGCTGAAGCTTCTTTCCCTTGCGGATGCGAGGAAATGAGTTCTCCACCTCGACACAGTGTGGTACAATATGGGACAGCCCACTAAGTTGGCAAAAGCGGCATGTATATACCTTTTTTTTTTTTTTTTATTATTCACTGAACTCGCTCCACACGTTGCACATTCAAAATATGTATTAACGGTTAAGGGGTGAAGCGGGTTACACACGCGTCCTGTTTTAATTGCCATCTGGCGTCACAATGCTA